TTTATATCATCCATTCTCTTCCCCCCCCCCCCTTTGACCGTGGTGAGTGAACGATCCATGAATTTATTGCGTCTATTCAGTCTCTCTGCTAGTGTGTGTGTGTGCACGGACCAGATCGGTTTTCCGGGAATTCAGCCCATTTGTGACCCCGATTAAATATGCAGGATGTATTTCATTTACGAGTTTGCTGATCATGAAGTTCGTTGGAGAGTGAAGTAATCGGTTGTGCGGACGAATTTTTCTGCAATGGAACATTTGAAGGAACGTACTTACGATAATTGTGATAGTTTTTTTTCAATTCACAAGTTGCTGGTTGAAATTTGCCTATAAACGCTTTCAAATCGGCTACTGAATGCCACACTCAGTGCTTGAGAAACAATAAATATTAAATTTGAAAACTAAACTACTGATCAACAGACTTCACTATCAGCGGACATGTCTTCATCTGTGCCAGTTTATTTCTGTCGTCCGGTTCAAAGTAGTAAGTCCACTATTTGTCTCAACCAAATGATATTTAACATCGCCTTCTTGGTCGCGATTTGTGTATTCTTTTTCATTCAACTAAAATGTGGTTCACCATCATCCTGTTGAATTCCCCGATTTAATGTTAGTCCAATAATATATATATATATATATATATATATATATATATATATATATATATATCAGTGTGATCATCCGTGGGATTAGTTCTATCTACAGATGTTATTGTATAACATCTGCTTAGTTTTATTCCCACAGACTGTTATTCTGCATGAGTGCCTCTCTCTCTCAGTCTCTCTTGACTTGACCACTGTGGAAAAAACACGGTATCTAATATACCTCATTTATGGATGCTTGTGTTTTAATGCTCCATAGTGCTGGTATGATCAGCCTTTGTGTATTTTGCATCACTTTTAAAATAAGCCTGATCCTAAGGTACGGGCCACAAGGAATGCAAGGGAAGTTCAATATCAATGGAGAAAATGGAAACAAAAGATCAACAGAGTACATATTTTTTTTTACTCGCTTCTATCGTACATTTTCTCAATTATAGAACAAAGAAAATTACTTTGTAATAAATGAAGGGTAAGTTGATGTGACGATACGGGGTGGCCGGTTGGCAAGTGTCTCTTGTTTCTGTGTGGCCAATTCAGCCTTGAGCTTTACGCAACAAACGTGTTTTAATACCTTTTCCAGCGTTTGTTGTTTCATTCGGTTAAAGATGAGCATCTGAAAGCCTCTTCGGGGCGTCTGTCCTAACGATTATTTCACCGTTTTTGTTGGTTACCGCTTAACGAGCCTAGGTCTTTTCGGTTCTACTACTGTTAGATCTGTCTACCACTATTGCAACATTTATCGGCACTAAGCATGGCACTGGGTTTTTCTGTTCTCAGCTTCCATTACTCTGTTTCTAAAACTGACATGCGTAGGTTTTGCCAGTGAACCGTTCACGGTCGGATGGGGCCTTTTAACTAGTTGTCGTACTCGCACTGTCATAATATCAGCGAATCAGTCGACCTCGCTCACGCTTTAATTTTTTCCATTTCTCCTCTTTTTGCTGTACAGGGGAAAAAAATTAAGGTAATTCAAATCATCGCAAAGGTGCAATGCATGTGCTCGATCATGGTGTATACATTTGCCCAAGGCCACCCTCCATCCTCATCTTCTCTGGCCCTAGCTCTCCCATCTTGACTTCCGTTTCTTGCGCAGTTCTTATTCCCGTGCTCATTCTCATTTCAAACCCACTCCACCCCACCCCCGTCCAAGTTATACAGTCACTTACCACTGATTTCGATAAGTACCTTTATTCCGCCGGGTGTACTTCGTTCTTCACCTGCACAATACACGCATGATAGAATGAACATGACAGAGCGCGCGCGCGCGCGCACTCGCCCAAACACATTTGTTAGTTTATTCTGGATCGGTCTGACTGACTGCATCGTGACGACAATTGGTACCGATTATCCCCCTTGCTGGAAGCATGCCCGGAATTAGTGATTCATTTATTGATACCGTTTTCCTCATTCTATAGGTTGTTTGATAGTCACTCAAACAGACGATCGACCAGTAGTAGCATTTCCGGTCGATACTTGGTGATGCTCATTCAAACTATGATCCCGGGATACCGTAAATGGTCTTGCGATCATTTAGGGTTTTCTGGATATGCGGTTACTAAAAAGCGTTATTCTGTCCACCGGAATGGTACGTTTATCGCAGTTTCTACCGTCTACTTGTCAGTGAAGGTTGACTGACATGTGTCCTGTTCCCATATATCCATGTGGTTTGTTCTATGTTGCCTTCCCGAAGGAGCTTGCTTTGATAATCTGTTTTTGTATGCGACGAAACGACCGATATGATGGATACATTGTGCCATAACTTGTCACTGAGACGCTACGATAGGAACGTTCACACTTTTGTACTTGATGTCATCTGGACTATTCCGTGTTCTCTCGCACACTCTGAATGTACATACACAAACAGATTGACCCGTTAGCGGTTTGGACAGACTGCGGTCTGTTTTGAACCGGATATCACTCGATCGGCTCACCCTCTATGTCACGATGATGTGTATGCGTGCCCGATGAATGAAAACGTGCAATCCGTACCGTCCTTAACTAATCGCGGTTCGTATAACCTTCCGCAATTCGCACTTTCGTGCTGTGTCTCAGTTCATCGTTTTCAAATCGAATAGACTCTGAACACTTCGCCGAAACATATATTTAAAATAAAAGAGTTCATTAGATACAGGAACAAAGAGACTACACACGACTTTCACTGTTTACACATCACTACAGTAATTTTTGACGTTGGAAAATGTGATGCCCAGTAGGCATGACCCTCTACGATCCAAAAAACTCTCTCTACCTGCAGCTGATAGCTTTCATCATCGCACTCCGTCGTTATGTATGTACGCTTTGACTTCTCTTACCCATTAATTACTTTAAAAGGCATTACTAACCAAGGAATCCACTACCGAGAAATGCGTAACACACACACACACACATATATATATATATATATATATCGGTTCAGTTCAGTTCTTACAGCCGTTATTCATGCACTTTCGTGCTCCGTTTTTGACTGCTGTCTTTTTGTTGCCCGTTGGGATAAAAAAGCAGGATGATGATTAGAATGTTGACTGCAGATTCAAGCGGAAAATAGTGCATTTCCATAGACTGAAGTTGCAAGGGTAATGGGTAGATACATGAGCGCCACTGTTTGCGACACCCAGCCAGGGAGCCTAACTGGACTTATATGAACCAGTCTCCTGGTCGGGGTTTTCATACTCTCATGCCAGGTCTTGGTTTGACCGCCCTTGATCTTTTTCCAACCGCTACCTGCCTCGGCAAACATCACTGGCCGTGGCAACCTATCCGATGACATGCGTAGCACATAGCCCGGCCAGCGTAATCTTTGGTGGTCGTCCATTTGCTCCAGTGGACGACCTCGATTACCTAAAACTCTGCGCCTAACCTCAGCATTGCTCGTCCGATTACCCCACCAGACTCGTCAAATGCTAAGTAGACAGTGGTGTTCGAACACCAGCAATCTGTTTTTATCCTATTCCCGTAATGGCCAAGCCTCTGCACCGTGAAGCAGAACGGGCCGAACTGCTGCAGAATATACTCGATCCTTCACAGACAGCCGAATGTCGTGACGGCACCACAGATATCTCAACCGAGCCTTTTGTATGCGCATCGACACTTCATCTATGATGCATCTGCCAGGTGAGATATAGCTGCTCAGATAGCAAAAATTGTCATTCCTCGGTCAGGGCGAGTTTGGGGACTGGACCAACCCAATCTTCGAACACTTTGGAAGTGCAAAACGCATACGCGAACATGGCTACACTAGCACTTAAACTATCCAGAAAAGCTTGCAACTTATCTGGATCTTCACTTCCTAGCTCAGTTTCGTCTACGTACTCAGATCAGCCAGTCTACCACCTGGGAGTAAATCAATACTGCTATCCTCGCACGCGGATAAGGCTGTTTCCATAATCAAATCTATAACAAAGTTGAATAAAAACGGAGAGAGAGGGCAGTCTTTTCGAACACCACTTTCTGAACTCGGGTGAAAAGTGTCGTAAGCTCGGACTCGGCTTCAGTTGTTAGCATAAATGGATTGTAAGATTGAAATAAACTTCTCGGGCGCACCCTTTAGACTGATGCAACGCCAGAGTAGAGCGTAGTAGACTGAGTCGAAAGCCGCTTTCAGATCGAGGAAGATAGAGATAGTGGGTCTACGAAAGGAGTGTCTGTGTTCTAGAATTTGACGAAGAGTGAAAATGTGGTCTATACAACCTCGACCAGGTCTAAAATCAGCCTGGTTCTCACGTGTGCACCGTTCACGTGCGGCAAACAATCGACAGTATAATACCAGCGAGTAGTTTAGAGAAGATGTTGAATAAACTAATTCCTCTGTGGTTTTCACAAGAGGACCTGTCGCCGTTCTTGCAAATCGGTATGTTGACCGATTCACTTGGAACCTGTTCCCTTTGCAACACTGAGCCCAAGAGTTTTATTAACTCCAAAATTAAGGCTGAACCTCCATCTTTAAAAGATGATGGGGACAGCCCGTCGGGTCCGGAAACCTAATACCTTTTCTCGGGTAACCTCCCCATAAAGATATATATTGCAAAAAGTCACGGTACAATAATCTTTCTAAAAAGAAAAGTGTTCCATGATTTTCATGTCGGCTGAATACTGCCAGGTTGCCCAGGCCAACCAACCCAGGTGAACTTCCTTAAGGAATCCACAACCGGAGCTTTTGATTAACCAAAGCCTGACCCGCAAGGCAACGAGGCGGTGTATGGAAACCGCAATCCATTTGCGGCCGATGTCTAGTTCATCGGATCATACGCCCTTCGGACAAGGTCAAACGTCTAAGGTGCCCAATGGAGCCGATGACCATTGCCACAACCGAGGTGTGTGTGGTTCGTTCACCTCATGGTTGGTTTAGAATAAAGCTTTTTGGTTAACTCACTTGGGTGAACTACCAGTGGTTCACCAACCCGGATGTCAGCTTCTTGTCCTCTCCCTTTGATGGGAAAACACCCGTCACGAGAAGGTAGTGAGTAGGTCTTCCTCAGCAGAAGCTATTTTAGACGCTCGGTCGTATGGGAGCATTTCGCGAGATACAAAGGAAGGGAGAACAGCTGCAACCCCGACCGTACTGAGGCTTTAGGAGAATGTCATACAGAGCTTTTCTGGTTCTGCTTATATGAATGCCAATTCTCTATTTCCCACAGAATGTCACCTTCGAACTAGTTAACTGCTGGTCTTCTCGATCTTCTTAATGAGACGGGTGGAATGAACATAATAGAACTTCCCGCCCGTCGCGTGAAGTACACATGATGTTTATCGGATTCAGTCTGTTTTATAAAATATGAAAGCTGGAGGGAGCCTAGCGGAAGCTGTTAATTGGTCCGTCTGTTTCCAACGGGAATTGCTTTCTTGTTGAAACCTCTACACAGCGATCATCGAAAGATCTTGCTGCTAACGTTGTTTTTCCGTCGTGCAGCCGTTTGTCGACATATCAAAGTCATTCAAATTGAATGTTATATCCGTCGCATAATCCATTCATTTAACATGATTTATTGTTCTCCTTTTGTTTGTTTGTTTTTATCCAACAAACGGCCAAACTCAGAAAAAAATGTCTTGTTTTACTGCACTATTGTGTTAATACAGTCAAACGCAGTGTGCATTGGACAGAGAAATCCTCATAAATACCCGATGCAATGTTCCAACCCGGCTACCATCAACTAACACAGATAATGGGTGGCTCAATATTTTCGGTGGTTTAGGTAGCCCAATTTCCCGGATTCGTCCACTCTCATGACTTAACTACCGTGTATGCATGTATATTCCTTCTTCATGTGCACTGCTTGGGCAAAGATCAAACATTTATTATGAGAATAACTTACAGGCTCATGCTTTTCTCGTCCCATAGGCTCGTGAGGTGGTTGAAAAAACAGTGATACATACAATTCTTTGTGTAAAATGTCACGTGATACGTGCTGCCACCGCTGCACGCAGCTTCACTTATGTTGGAATGTAAGGTGTGCTAATGTTTCATCGAGTCTCAGTTTGAAAGATTCAATGCTTGGAGCACAGACGACGTAGGATGGGTGAGAGTTCCAGATGGAACACACTGGCTGCAAATGACTGACACCGGCATTCCATGCAGCATTTTGAGACTACTAGTTTGAGTGGATGTCCTCTAAGATGAATGTTGGGTGATAATTTCAGAAGCGGGCAACAGGGATGGCTTGGGTTTTGCATTATTTGGTTTATCATAATCATATCTCCTCTGATGCGCCGGTAGTTTTTGGAATATAACCCCAGTGACTTCAATCTCTCTGCGTATGAACACCGACTCAACCCCATAACAATTTTTGTGGACGCTCCAGCACTTTGCAATCACGTTGTAGCCATGGATTCCATGCATGAATAGCATACTCTGAGTAGGCGAATGTACGCTGATAGTAGACGGGGGAAAAGCCTTGTCTCAAACCGGTCAAAGACCCGCTTATGCAAACCGACATTCGTTACAGCTGCGTTGGACACCTTGGTGCAGTTGATTGAGCAGCTTAAGTTTTCTTAAATGATGATGGACGGATCATAGAACAACAAACGGAGGACTACGCGGACATCGTTCTCTCCAATGTT